GATTATGAGTTCACCAAATGGCGGGGCACGCATAGCATATGAGTCATTCATACCGAGATTCTATTCAAAAACTTTTCGTCAGTTTGAAGCGAAGATTCCAAATTCAGTAGATGCCGGAGGATCACACGGCACCTAATAGTTTATATAAAGATTCTATTCAGAAACGTTCCACAATATGAAGCGAATATTACAAGTTCAACAAACGATGAAGAATCACACGAGAAACGGTAATTCGTATCATGATCCTATTCAAATACTTGGTTCAGTTCGAAGCAAAGATTTTGTGTTCATTGCAGAGTGGAGGAAAACACAACAAAAAAATAATTTATAAGAAGATCCCTTTGGTATATTTTGTTCTGTTTAAAGTAAAGATTGCGAATTCATTAGATGATAAAAGAACATATGACAAATGAATAATTCATAATGAGATTCTATTCGAAAAATTTCCACAGTTCGAAACGAGTATTGCGTGTTGGATAGATGACAAAGCATTTCATGACGGATGATAGTTCATATCAAGATTCTAGGCAAATATTATCTACTGTTCGAAGCAAAGATTTCGAGCTTGATAGATGACGGAGGTTCACACGGCAGATGATAGTTTATACTACAATTCTATTCAGATATTTTGTTGAGTTCGATGCAACGATTTTGAGTTCAGTGCAGGATGGAGAGAAAACACAACAAATGGATACTTCACAGCAAGATTCTATTCAAACATTTTGTTCAGTTCGGAGCAAAGATTTCGAGATTCTTGCATGATGGAGAAACACACAATGAATGTGCACCTGTAACAAACGTTCATTTCATGTGTTTTGTTTACTTCGAGAGAAAGATTTCCAGTTCATTACAGGGTGTACGAACACAACACAAATGAATGCGTCGTATAAAGATTCTATTCAAATGATTCGTTCAGCTCGAGGCAAAAGTTTCGAGTTCGTTATATGGTGAAGAAACATAACTACAAATGAAAAAGTCATAGCAAGATTCTATTCAAATATTTTGTTCAGTTCTTAGCAACCATTTCGGGTTTGTCATATGCTGAACAAACACAACCACAAATGGATAATTTATATTAAGATTCTATTCAAATATTCTGTTCACTTCAGGAAACGATTTCCAGGTCATTACATAGTGCAGAAAGTCACAATAGATGATTACTTCGTAGCAAAGTTACATTCAGGTATTCTGTTCAGTTCGAAGCAAAGATTTGGGGTTCATACATGATGGACGAACACACCGTAAATGAACATTTCATATTAAGATTCTATTCAAATATTTTCTTCGGTTTGATGTAAACTTTTCCAGTTGATTGAATCGTAGAGGAACACACAACAAAGGAATAATTTAAATTAAAATTCTGGCCTAGTATTCTGTTTAGTTTGTAGTACAGGTTTATAATTGATTACATGGTGAAAGTACACGCAACAACTGAGTATTTCATAATAGGATTCTACTGAAATATTTTCTTCGGTTTGAGGCAAAGATTTCGAGTTCATTACATGGTGCAGAAAGACACAAGAAATGAATACTTTGTAACAAGGTTCTATTCGTGTATTCATTTCAGTTTAAAGAAACGATTTCGAGTTCATTACATGGTGCCGACAGATACAAGAAATGAATACTTCGTAACAACGTTCTATTCATGCGTTCAGTTCAGTTTGAAGAAAAGATTTCGAGTTCATTGCATGGTAGAGGAATACACAACAAATGAATATTTCGCAATAAGGTTCTTTTCATATACTCTATTCAGTGCGAAGCAAAGTTTTCGAGTTCGTTGCATGATGGGGAGACACACGACAAATAAATAATTCATATGCAGATTCTATTCGAAAACTTTCTACAGGTCGAAGCAAAGATTTCGAGTCTAATACATGACGGAAGATCACATCACAGGTGATAGATCATATGAAGATTCTATTCCCTTGTTTAGTTCAGTTTGAAGCAAAGATTTCGAGTCCATTGCGTAGTGGAGAAACACAGTATACATGAATAATTCATATACATATTCTATTGGAAAACTTTCCACACGTGGAAGGAAAGATTTCGAATTCAATAGATGGCGGAGGATCACGCCATAGACGATAGTTCATATGAAGATTCTATTCACATATTTTGTTGTGTTCGAAGCAAAAATTTCGAGTTCATTGCATAGTGGAGGCAAACACGAGAAACGAATAATTAAAATCAAAATTCTATTCAAATACCTCTGACAGTTCGAAGCAAAGATTTCGAGTTCATTGCATACTGCAGCAACGCACGACAAATAGATAATTAATATCAAGATTCTTTTCAAATACCTTCGACAGTTCAGAGCGAAGATTTCGAGTTCATTACATGGTGCAGACACGCACGACAAATGAATGATTCCTATCACGGTTCTATTCAAATATTTTGTTCAGTTCAAAGGAAGGGTTTTCTGTTTGTGGTATTGTGGAGGAACTCATGATAAATGAGCAGCTTAAACAAACATTCATTTTAGATATTTTGTTCAGTTCGAAACAAAGATTTGGACCACATTACAGGGTAGACCAGCACACAACAAATGAATAATTCATAACAAGATTATATTTAAATAATTTGTGCAATTCGAAGGAAAGATTTCGAGTTTATTGCATGATGAAGGAATACGCAACAAATGGATACTTTATATAATGATTCTACTCAAATATTCTGTTCAGTTCTAAACAAAGATTACGAGTTCATTATATGGTGGAGGAGGACATGACAAATGAGCTGCTGAAACAAACATTCATTCCAAATATTTTGTTCAGTTCGAAGCAAAGGTTTCGAGTTCGTTACGTGGTGGAGGAGCACAATAGGCGAATACTTCGTAACAAGGTTTTATTCGTGTATTCTGTTCAGTTTGAAGCAAAAGATTTGGGTTCATTGCGTGATGGGCGAAGACACGGTAAATGAATATTTTATATTCAGATTGTATTCAAATATTTTCTTAGATTTGATGCAAACTTTTTCAGTTCTTTGCATCGTAAACGAGTACACAACAAATAAATAATTTATTTAAGATTCTAGCCAAGTATTTCGTTGAATTTGAAACAAATATTTGCAATTGATTCCATGAAGAAAGAACATGAAACAGATGACTAGTTCATAACAAGATTATATTGAAATATTTTGTGTGGTTCGAAGAAAAGATTCCGACTTCACTGCATGGTGGAGAAACGCTCGACAAACGAGTAGTGCATAGGCAGACTCTGTTCAAATATTTTGCTGATTTCGAAGCAACGATTTCGGGTTCAATAAGTGACGAAGGAACAAACGACAAGTAAGAAATTATAGCCCGGCTCTATTCAAATATATTCTACAGTGCCAAGCGAAGACTTCAAGCTAAATAGATGGTGGAGAAATACACAAGAAATGGTAATTCATATGAAGATTCTATTGAAATATTTTGTTTAGTTCGAAGCAACCATTTCGAGTTCATTACATAGTGTAGAAATGCACGATAAATGATAATTCATATTAAGATTCTATTGAAATATTTTGTTTAGTTGGGAACAAAGATTTGTGTTTTGTTGCAGGGTGGAGGCACACACGACCAATGAGGAATTCATATCAGTAAGATTCTATTGAAATATTTTGTCTTGTTCGAACCAAAGTTTTTGAGTTGATTATATAGTTGAGGAAAACACAAGAAATAAATAGCCCATATAATCACAACTATTATCATCATCAGAGTTCTATTCGAATACGGGGATGTGTATTATATGTAGTATGTATGTCATGCTTAGAAGAAAAGCCTCGTTGAAAATGAAGGACTCGTACGTTTGTTGATTAAATGACGAAGCCGATAATTTGCAACAGAGTGTTCAGCTGCTGCACCTTGTAGCATCTGGATTGCTACCATTAAAACAATACTACAGCAAGCCATTTTAATAATGTTGTTGTTCATTATAATTGTTTTTTGTTTGAAATTGAATGAGAATATAAGATGGATATGCTTGTATAAATTATAATGTTTTGCTTCGGCTTTATATAGGATAATTGCCAAGCAAAAAAGAGTCTACGAAAAAAGTTGTTTTTTCGTCGTTAGAGAGAGACAGACAAAGAGAGAGTATCCTATCTGGCTGTAGAGAGGGATAAAAATTATTTTTAGTTTGTATAGAATGACGCAGAGAGAGGGGATTTTTGATTATATACAGTTAGAGAAAGACGTAAGTAGATTATTTTTAGCTCGTATATAGTGACTCAAAAAGAGGGATTGTTGAGTATGTACAGGTAGATACAGACATACGCACTTTATTTTTTAGTTCGTATACAGTGATTCAAAGAGAGAGATTTTTTTAATATGTACACGTATACGCATTTTATTTTTGGCTCGTGTATAATGACGCAGAGAGGGGATTTTTGAGTATATACAGTTAGATAAAGACGTAAGCAATTTATTTTTTAGTTCGTATATAATGACTCAAACAATGGGATTGTTGAGTATGTACAGGTGTATATAGGCATACGCAATTTATTTTTTAGTTCGTATATGATGAGTCAAAAAAAAAAAAGAAAAGGTATTTTTGAGTATGCACAATGGATATATAGACATACGCAATTTATTTTTTAGTTCGTATATAGTGACTCAGAGAGAGGGGTTTTTGAGTATGTACAAGTGAATAAAGACATACGCAGTTTATTTTTTATTTCATATACAATGACGCAAAGAAGCTAACTCTTTTTCTAACTAATGAATTGAACATAAATCTGCGAATGTTTATAAATGAAAAGAAAAAATGAAAAGTAAATAAATAATAACATAGGTTTTTTTAGTAACTTCTATTGTGATTTATGACAAACGAACTGAAGATAATTCATAAATATTTATATTTATTTAGTAATATAATATATAAATTAATTTTTATTTTAATTAAACATGAACATATATTAAAGACATACTTTTTAATGATAAAATTAGAAAAATAAAGTTTTTAAAGTATTGATACATTTTGACTGTTCGTTGAGATTTGACGAGATACATTATTAAAAAATTAATTTGTATATAGTAGAACTGTAGGACCCATTTCAGTTGGTTGATAGACATTAGGACGTGCTTTAAATCGTTTCGTTGCTATATCAATTTCATATGTAGCTTTACGAATATAATTGACTGTGATCTTTTCTGAAGAAGGTGCATGAACAAATCCTAAGCAGACCTATAAAAAAATATATATAAATGACAGATTATTTTTTCATATTCTATACTTGTTTTCCAAGTGTAAAGCCAAACGCTGCAGAAGTAACAAATCCACAAAATTCACCATTACGATAAATAGGTTCACCACTCCAAGGCCTACAAAATAAAATTATATAATCATATTATTTACATAGTATATCAATAACCATGGGTCTGAATCAAGATTATGATCTTCAAGAAAATTATATTTATACATAGAATAACAAAGTTGACTTAATTAAATTTTATTTTTACATCATATGATATATGATATTCTCGATTTAAATGATATGGTGTTGTTTTCTTATCGATATCATGTCCCCAAGATGGTTACATACGTTCAATTCGAAGAGTTCGTTGAGCAAAGTATCTAAATTAATATATGTATATAAATAAGAATTTATCAAAATTATCAATATTACCCAGCATTGATGATTCCATAACCTTTACCTTGTTCCATTAACATATCGTGCACACATAAAGCATACTAGCAAAAGAAAAATAATCAACAACAAATACAAAAATATATTTTACTTCTGATGGAATATAAATCATAAAACCATCTTCACCAGTATGTGTTAATCGCATTGCATATATGTGACTAACAAAACCAACGTCAATTTCCTAAAATGATTGAATGATAAAAAAATAATCAAACTTAACATTTGAGTTACTTGACAAGTCATTCTTGCAAAATCATTAAAATTTTCATCACTCAATTCGGATAGTAAATATTTGGCTTTTGGTCCAATTACATTCAATGCTGTATAAAGTGAAGTTACATCCGAAAGAAAAATAGAATTATCTTCTGGTACATGTGTTTTAAGCCATTTCATATTGCGAGTTGATTGTGACGTTGGACTCAACAAAAGAAAACTAGTAAGAGGACAAAAATCTTATATTTATTTAGGAAAAAAACATCGTATCCTACTGATATTCTCCTAAACGTATAACAGAACAATCATTTTCATAACCACCTTGTTCATTTAACATTCCTGTATGAACAACAGTACCAATTGGCTTATCAATATTATTTGCACAAAGCATTTGAAGAAAATCCACAACACTTCGATTTGCTGATTTTAATTCATATTTTGTAAATGATGTCATATCAATAACAGCTACACCTTTTCGACATGCATTATATTCTTTTTTAACTGTATTAAACCATCGTGCTTTACCAAATGTACCTTGTTTACTTAAATCTTCAAAATCTTCTATATTACAAAAAAAAAGAAATAAAAAAAAGCATTTTCTTTTAGTTTCAAAATACTTTTTCCTGCTTCATCTGGTTTAAAAAATAGTGGACGTTCGTAGCCAAGTACTTCGACATAAGTTCGCTACTTCAATGAATATTGTTTTCCTATTACAAATTAATATAATACAAACAAACACATATCTAAAATTTTACCTGGTATTTCTCGTAAACGATCTTGAAGAAATCGTTTATTGGTATGTAAACGCATAAAACGTCGTATATCAACAGGCCATATACTTAAATTTGTATTTCCATTATGTATTAATTCAGTTATATATTTTCCAACACCACCAGCAAGTGCTATACCATGTCCATTAGAACCGGATGCAACGAAATAATTATCAATCTAAAGATTCCTTTATTTTCTGAAATATTTCTATTCATTGAATAAATAACTAACTTCAGCTGATTCATTCATTATTGATCGACCATCCGGTGTAAAACTATCAGCGCCAGTAATTAATGTTTCACATTCACTTTCAGTTAGAAAAGGAAATCGTTAGATAGTATTACTTAATATCCAATCTAGAAAATAAGTATAAGTATATGATGAATAAAATGATGATAACCTACAAAAATCATCCCAATTATCGGGTAGAAGTGAAAAATAAAATGTATCCGGAACACCATTTGAAAAAATAGATTTTGATTGACGTAGAAAACCACTAATTAATACACTATGATCAGCTAATAGTTGAATATAAAAACGTTCTTTAGGATTATAAACTGTTGGAATATATGTTGGAAAATTTTCTATGGGTTTAGTTTTATACATATAATACAATTAATAAATACATCGTATTTAATATGACCTTTTGATATTACAGCACCAGTTACACGATCCGATTGTCCAGTACGTTGTTGTTCTGTAAGAATTTCTTCTACATAACAGTCTTCAATAATTTTAACTCCTATAAATAGATAACCAATAAATTTATCAAAAAAAAACTCATTTTCTGTTTATTACCTTTAGCTATTGCTAATTGAGCAAATGTTAAAGCTAATGGTATTGGATCAACAATAAAATCATTCGGTAGCCAAAAACCGCCCTTTAGATACATGTCATCGAATAAAATACAGTAAAACCCTTCTATTTTGAACACCACTGAGCCTTTCATAAATCGTTCATATTGACGAGGTGATCAGACAGGAGAAGGTTTATGCAAACAAAGCGTTTTTTTCTATTTAAATCACATATTTTAATTTGTTACTATTGATTAAATTCATTTTGAATTTTCTTTTTAAAATATTTGAAACAGCTTCAGCTGAAATTTGAAACTTATCACATAATGATCGATAAGAAAGTCCATTATCTTTCTTTTTTTATAAGGTTTATTTTTTCTTCTAAACAAAGTTCACGACGAGTTGTTATACTTAATAGCTTAGCATTAATATATAAATATACAACTAGTATTTCAATGCAATTGTGTATCGACGACATTGAAATCGCTTTTTTTTGTTTCTCTCGATACCAATCACAAACCGAGCCAATGAAGCATATCGTATTAGTCCAAAATTTAACGGCGTCCTCTATAATGTTTACATCACAGGGAGCAGGTTATACAATCAGGACCCCAAAAAAGTGTACACGCTAACAGAGAGGTTTTACTGTATATATATTATAGAAATTTATTTTATACATAAATTTCATTTGTATTAATAATTGGTACTTTTTCTCTTAATTTTCATGACTTAATATTTTACAATAGATTCCTAATACTTTTGTAGTGGAATATTGATGTTTGATTGTATGAAGCAAAGGGAAAAGAACGGAATCCTGGAATATCATGGAATTCTATAGAATTCTTGGGAATCTATGATTCCAAAATTTCGTTCTTTTCCACCTGATTGGTAGGTATTGGTATTGTTAGATCTATACTTGTACCGCAAAGCTAAGAAAACTGTTGAATTTGGAAGTATGAATACGATATTCGATTTTGCTATGGCAATACAGAAAATCTAATCTGATATTGTTCATTGAGGAGATGAAAATATTGTCTTCCATTAAATCTATATATTTCATTCGATTCTATTACTTAATATACAAAAGAAGAAAAAACAAACAAATACTGGCATGGAATGTATAACAAAAATAAGAAAATATAAGTTAACAACATTTTGTTTTAAATCAATTTTAAAGTGCAAATGATGAACATCCATTGACAGCTGCTCTTGATCGTGGTACATTATTCATTAGTATTGCTCCATTAAATGCAACAGTTAAATCTGTTTCATCATTTTCATTTTCTTCATTGATTTTATTTGTTGTTAAATGATTATTTGACATATATGTATATAATTGTTGTGGTAAAGAATGATACCATGGATAATCTGTTGTTGATTGATTTTCTTCTGATGAATAATTTTGATTATTTAATAAACTTTTTGTACTTGTTAAATCATCATAAACAATTGGTGTTGGTATTGGACGTGGTGGTGAACGGCTTGAAAAATTATTATATAATAAATCACTTAATGCTAAACTATCACGATTACGTTGCAATGTTAATTCTCTATTGATTGGTGTTAATAATGTTGATGCTGTATATAAACTTTGTTTTGATTCAGCATTATTTAAATTTGATGATAATGTATTTGTTGATTGTAACAGTTTTCGTTTATTTAATTTCATTCGACAACAACAACATGTTATAATTATACATATAAACATAAGAATAAGTAAAGCTAATAAACTAAGAATAATATATAAGAATAATTGATTTGATCGTAGAAATAATTGAATATTTGAAAAAATTTTAAATGGATATAGAAATGTTGATGATGATGATGATAATGTTAAATTATATTTATAAATCTGACTTGCTTCACTTATACCAATATGATTAATAGAATAGATACGAAAATAATATTCCATAGATTGATTTGGTTGAAATATATTCGAATTTAAATAATATGGAGATTTTGATATTCGATCAAGAAATTTCCATGTTTTTCCATAATCATTTGAGAATTCAATAAGATAATAATCTGATATAATCGATGATTTCCATGTTAATTCATTATGTTTATTTATAAATAAATCATATGGTGATAATGGAGAATTTATTTGTGGACCTGTTTGAATAGATTTATATAGACATGGACCACATTTTATTGTACATGCACAAAGAGTAAATTCATAGAATTGATAAGGTTCTAATTCATCAATACGTAATGAAGTATTATTTGGCGATAGAAGTTGTTTAATTGTTTTCACACGAGTTGATGATGTATTTGTCGATGAAGAAAATGACAGACGATTATCATATGTTAAATCATATGAACGAAGAATACCATTTAAAGATTTTGGTAGTTGCCAATCAAGTTGTAAAGAAGTAAATGTAACATAAGAAAATGTTAATTCATTAATAGAACCAGGTGCTAGAAAGAAAAATTTCTTATGAGAAGTCAACAAAATAAAAATTCTGAGTGGGTACCGCTCATCAACGCTTTGTTTAAGTCTCGTTCTTTGGACGGGGGAATTAAAAGTTCATGTGGGCGCGCTACTAGGGACTTGCGGAGTCATAATCGGATTTCAGAGTACTCCGTAGCTCCCAACGCGTCACCCATTCAGTTTACCCACTAGATAAAACACTGTCAATGCTTAGAATCCTTGTATTTACTCAAGCTAAACAAAACTTATTTCACTTTGAACATTCTATGTCAATTATATTATTTACCATCTTCATCTGTTCTTATTAAATCTGTTTCATATATTGGTCCATCTCCATTAATATTAAAAACATTAATCATAATTTTATAAACAGTAAAAGGATTAAGATCATTTAATACTACACTTGTATCATTATATGAAGTAATATAATTTTTTTCTTTATTAGTTTCATTTGCTGCTATCCATCGAATACGATAACCAATTGATGGTACTATTCGAGTAAGATTCCATTTCATTAATATTTCTGTTGAACTTAAAACACTTAGATTAACTGATGTAATTGTTAGATCAATTGGTGCAGGTAATTGTATATGAAAATAATGTGCAAATGAAAGTGGACCATCACCAATTGAATTACTCAAACAAACATATAAAACATATGTATCATTCATATATGAATAATCTTTACATAGATTATTTAAATGTATCGAATTATCTTGATTGATTGAATGAAAACTTTTTTGAAATGATTGATCATTGGTAATCGATTTAATTAATACTTTCAGACGAGTAGTATTTTCAATTGAATCAAAATTCTTTATTAAAAAAAAATTAAATTAAATAAAGAAATGAAATATTTTACTTTGAAATAAATATCAAGTTGACATGGATGATCTGTTGATATATAATCGATTGTTGGTTGTATATTTGGTACTAAACAAATCAATAAATAGATATGAAATAAAAATATTTTGTTTTTTACCATTTTGTTTTGTACGAACATAATTTGTTGAACGACTATAATCACTTATACCCATATCATTTTGTGATGCTAATCGAAAACGATATTTTGTATTTGGTTTTAAACTAAAAATATCGTTATAAAAATAAATTTTTAAATTAAAAGAATATTTTTTTTACTTTTGTATAATTAGTGATGTTATTTGTCCATCAGGTTTATTACTTGGATCATAGGGTTTCCATGTTAATGTATTTTCTTGTTCATATTCAATTAATGTATAACGAATGGGTGCATAATTAAAATCTGAATCTTTACGCCAAGTTAATATTAAACTTGTAGAATTAATCGATGTTTCAATGATTGTTGGTGGATATGGAGCAGCTGGTCGATCTAAAAAGAATGAGGATATGATAATCAACTGATAGCATAACTGAATTAATTTATTTACCTCGTTTTTCCATTGTTAATAAACGATTAATACTTGTTTCACCACAACCAATTCGAGTTTTAGCACAAAGTATAAATGTATACGGAGTTGTTTTTTCGAGATCTAAACAATAGAAATATGTTTTTATATGTATTACTTATATATCAACATACTTTCAGCTAGATAAGAATTTGTTATATTTGTTAAATTATTAATTTCAATACGTGTTTGTTCATCATCTGAACGCCAATATACAAGTTTATAACCAATTAGAATTCCATTTAATTTTGTTGGCTGTTGCCATATCATTTTTGCTGACCAATGATCGACATTAGGAAAGAAAACTTCTGTAGGTTTTGTAGGAACTACAACGAATAAAAAATAAATCTTCTTTAAAAATAAATTCAATAAGAAAAATTTCAAATCATACCATTTTCATCCGTCATAAATATAATAGGTTTACTAAATGTACTGCATCCACTTGATGTACATGCACTTATTGAACATGAATAATTTGTATAACCATCAAGATTATTTAGTATATAACTCATCGATGAACTATTATCAGAATAATCAATAGTATAATTTAATTGAGGAGATAGAATTGGAAAATATATGATCTAAATTTATAATATATATATTATTTGTTTTTTGAATTAAAATAATTAATTTTTACTTTATAATTAGTAATCAAACCACCTTGATCGATAGGTTTTAGTGAATTCCAATGAATTATAGCAGATGTTCCATTTATTAAATCAATACGAACATTTAATGGAGGATGAAGTGGTGCTAAAAATTTTATTTGAAACTAAATCAAACATATTTAAAATTATATTTATTACTAACCACTTTCAAATGTTTTTTCAATTGTTTCAATTGATATGGAACTTTTGCCAATACTATTAAATGTACTTAATCTAATTAAAAACGGTGTATTTGCTGGTAATAAATTCGTAAATATATATTCAGTTATTAATGGATCTTCGATTTTGATATCATCAGTTTTTGAATCATTAATAGAAATTATATAGCCAATATCTTTTCCAGTTGAAGAAATGGAATTCCATTCATTTGTTGGTATTGGCTAGATTTATTATATAGAATTAATACATATTAAAAGAATCATAATGAATGACTATGCTTTGGTATGAGTTAATTCATTTCAGAGCTGGGCAAAGTACTCGAAGTACTCGTACTCGAGAAAGTCCGTGCTCGCCCAGTTCTGATTCATTTATTAGATTCGGTAGATTAAGATACTGTCTATCTGAAATGGCGATGAATATTTTCTCTATACATGCCTATCAAAAACTTGAGATCAAAACTCAACTCTCATTTTAATACTATTTGAATGACTTTTAAAATAAATCATGAACATTCATAATAAACTTACCATCCATCGAACTCGAATAGCACTTGAATTAATTGCTTGTGCTAATAACATTTGTGGTACACTTGAAGGTACATCAGGTTTTGTACGAAAGAATTCTGTTGGAAGACTTGTATTACTAATACCTTTGATATTAACAGCTGACATTCGTATTCGATATAGTTGATATGGGTGTAAATCATGAAGAGTTAATGTTGATTGTTCAATATTAAAAGACTAGAAAAAATATTTATTTATAGTTTTAATAAAAACCGAAAATTCTATTACTTCAAGATTTTCCCATTGTGAATTGTTACTTTTCATTTGAATTTCAACAATATATCGTAATATATTTGTTTTTCCAGTATAACCAGGAGTAAATTTAATAATTGCAGAACGTTTTTCAATCGATATAACTTCAAGATTTGTTGGTGGTGAAGGCATTTCAGGTGGATAACCTGATTCAATTGATGCTGAACGTTTTAAACCAAAACCTTTTCTTGTTTTTGCTTGAACACTTATTGTATACCAAGTTGTTGCTGATAGGTTATTAATTTTATATGTTGTTAAATCTGGTTTTATTTCAACTACTGAACGATCAGATAAATTTAATTGTGTATTATTCATTTGATACCATTCAAGTTCATAACCATTTAAATCACCATTAATTTCAAGTGGTTTTTGCCAACTTATATCCATTGATGTATCATACACATTGGAAAATGTTAAATTTTCTACTTGATCAGGAACTTAAAAGAAAGGAAATTTATAAGATAAAATTATAGATCGTTTCATACCATCTTCAAGTGTTTGTATATAAACTATCGGTGATGACCATGGTCCACTACCAATTTTAGTTGCACAATTAATTCTTACAGAATAATTCGTATATTTTTTTAAATAACCAATAGAAAGTTGATACATTTCAATAGGCTTAGCTTGTTGTTCTTGATATAATGTAAGATTTCGATTTAAATCAATTAATTCAATCTGAAAGATAAACAAAAAGAAAATATCGAACTCAATTCTATTGATTGTTTTATTTTTACTTTGAATGAATTAAGAATTCCATTTATATAGGATGATAATGGACCTTGCCATTTAATCATAATTGCTGTAGAATTTATTGGTTCGTATTGAATAATTATTGGTGCACGACTAGGTATACCTTCAAGTGTTCGAACTTTAACTATTTCACTTGCTGGTCCAATACCAACATTATTAACAACAGCAACTGTTATTAAATATGATTCCCATGTCATTAAATCTAATATTACATAATAATAATAAAAAAGAAAATCAATTATTATTGTTGTTTTTTCTTAAATCTAATCATACCTTTTAAAATATACGATTGTATTGATGAATTTACACGAATTGATTTCCAATTTAAATTTGGATAATTTAATGCATAATTAATATTATAACCAATTAATTGTCCATTTATACTTGATTCAATTGGTTTTGTATATTCAATTAATACTGATGTTGAATC